TTCCTGCACCAACGAACGCATAGGAGCGATGTAAATTATCTTGAAATTTTCCTTGTTAATGCTGCCGTCTGGGTTAATATGCTGTCCGAGTTCGTGCATGATACAGAGGAGAGCGACGTTTGTTTTACCGGCACCCTGTAAGGAAAAACAAAGTTTGCGTTATCTAGAAGCTGACCAAGTTAAGAGGCGACGAAAAAAAAGCATTGACAAACGAATTTGTTACCCTCTGCTTTAGAGTGCAAGTTAGATATTGCAACGCTAAGCAGCATGATCGGTTGTTGTAAGGGAATAATTAGTCCTAAACATGATGACCAATTTTGGAATTCACCTGTAGAACCGTGTGATTACGCCTAAGGCATGTGACTGACCGTCTTGTTCATAGCCGGAGAGCTGTCCGTTAGACTGCCAACGCTACATATATAAAACCGCTTTAACCATCGTTTGCGCGAACAGTCGACTGGTAAGGAGTAGAGTGGGACCGACGCTGCAGACTCCGTCTCCACGGAAATGAAGTGCAAATTGGAAGTGATTTGAAAAAAATCATGGCTTTGGAGGCTGTCAGCTAATGAGTCGGAGACAGGCTGCAACAGCTCCTCCGAAGTGTGGCCTCAGACGGGATCCGGGCCGTTTGCTTAGTCCTGTGAAAACCTGTTCCATCGTGCGCAGATCGGATTGTGTGTGGCAATGGTAAGCGGGCTGTTTATTTTGTCAGTTACTGCGCCCGATCTCGACTGCGGTCATCCCGACTATACCCCAAGTGAGTGAAACATGAGGGAGTACAGCAGATGTTGCACAGGTCTACTCGCAGGTCTGCCATCACTACAAACTAGTTCACATGCAAGCCATCATCCTGCATTCACCACACACTGAAGCACATGGTGAAAATTGCCCTTTGCGAAGATCCAAATGATCACCATTCCCGTAATAAAGGTGATCTTGCGGCAAAGTGCTGCTGTAATTGGAAAAATTGGGATTTGTCGGCTAGTTTTCGGGCGTTATCAGTCACTATGGGGCAAAAACGGTGAGTGAATCCAAGGCACGGGATTTATGATTGGTCAAAAGAGATTAAGATATGCTGTTTGTGGATAGAAGGTTAGGGTTTCCGAGTCACTCTCTATGAAGCAGACAGATTCAATCAAATCATCAGATATCTGAAGAAGAGAAAGGAGTTTTGGCTCAATAAAAGGTTTATTCTCTGGCAAGGGCTTTGTCGTGGGGGAACGCACGTGCTCAAGGCATCGGGCGGTCCAGTGATCATACGTCCGCTCAATATAACTGCCTCTCAAATGTTAGGTGGCGTGCACGTGTGCTCTTGTGGACTCATTAAAGTGAGCTGCATCGTAAGTTGTTTCAATAGAGCAGTATATCCCACGCTGGGTTACGTTGGAAACACCGCCACCTTTGAAGGAAGCGACATTATGAAGCAAAAAACAGTGCAGCTTCTCTCACACTTGGAATTCACATGATTCCCCAATCTAACAACAGTTCGTGGGGGCGCTTTGTATGTGTACGCCACTTTTACTGTATTTAAATCACTTAGGAAGGTAGGCATACTGGGCAAACGCAAAGATAATTGCTTTCCCAATCAGTATAATACATGTCAAAATGACTTTAAA